AAATCTTAAGCCCTGAGCCCTTAGCCCCTAAAGCCCTGGTCCTTTGGTTTAGTACTACTGTAGTCTTGGCTCTATTAATACTCATACAATCCCTAGGCCCCCCTAATGTTTTTAATTAACTTTCAATTGTGGGCCCGAAACCACGAAATCCCGGGGGGCGGCAGTTTTATTATTAGGGGGGTGTTTAATAATAGTGGGAAGGGATTAGTTCATTGAAGCTGAGTTCGGAACGGTGAGCAGGTGCTGCAGCCAGCACGATTCCTGACAGCAGCAAAGAGGTGAGTGGGGTTGACACGGATAGAAGGAACTTGAAGCCCCAAAGCGCTTTCACGACACCTCAAGGAAGGCCTGTTGTCTAGATTACGAGCTCTGGCATCTGAGGACCTTGGCTTTAGGATGAAGGCTCAGCGAATCGTCCCTGAATTCCGGGGCGAGAGAGCAGGCTCTATGCTTCGGTCCGGGAGCCTCAAGGGCGTCTGTGAGATCTTCGTCTTAAGCCGAAGGCTTGTGGTATTTACGGTTCTTGGAGCTTAGAGCCTAAGGTGTATAAGTATAGGGCTCAGGGTTTCATGTCAACTGCAAGACAACAACCATCCTCATCTCCAACCCAAAAGTTAGATCTGCAATGCCTGCCATCCTGAGCAATCCTGTGGACAGCGTCAGCCACATGCCACTGCAAAGGGCTATGCAGCCAGCTCTTCCGAAGCTTCCGATGGTAGTAACAACTCGGTCTGCACCAGATCTCTAATAAGCACGATTGAACCCAAGCGAACATACCCTACACCTTGGTCTACGGGAGGCACATCCACGAAATCCAAACCCAGAACACCCGTTTTAACGTTTCGCCTAATGCCGAACCCAAAACCCTAAACCTCAAGCCCTAAACCCAATACCTTGTGAGATTTGAAGCCCTAAGACACTACTCACTGAGTGCCAAGCCAAGAGGTCGACTGCACAGGAGGAAGGGAACTCCTCAGGAGATCTTCAGGGCCGTTAAGGGTTTAGGGTTTAGCATAGTTCAGGGCTGAGGGCTTAGGTGGTCAGGGCCTTTGGGGCTTTGGTCCTTTAGGGCCTTTAGATGCGTTTAGGGTTGTGCATGCGTGCGAGCCCCGTATCCTGTCAGCATCCTTGTCCTGTTGTTCATCGCTGTAAAAGGCCAAACCCGCATGCTATTGATTGCGACAGCCTTGTCGTGATTTTCCTTCACATAATTCAACAGATAAATCACACTCAGGCACCTGAAAGCACAGTCCCATCTCCAAATCCTGCAGAGGAATTGCTTGCGGAACCGCACGGCTGTAGAACAGCTAAACCCTGTCGTTTAACCTATAAGCCCAATCATGAGACTCTAAACGCTAAACTCATGAATTTGCCTGGCAAGGGCCTGTTGCTGCTCAGGGTTCCTAAATATACTGAGACTTTCGTATGGAAATCCTCCACAACGGGTGCCTCGGCTCAATATTTCTTCAAGCATCGCCGAAAAACAGCAACTGCGGAATGTCGAGTCGCATGCTTACAACGTAAGCCCCTGAACCCTTACGTGCCGAGAGCTGTCACTTTTCCCTCGGTGCAAAGCAGTTCGTCGAGTAATCAATGCACATGTACCATGCCGTCTCGCTGTTGCACCTCCATGACATGTGTCGCCAACTCAGTTATGTTCAAGCGACAACAGGGTTCATGAAGGTTTGAGGGCTAATGCGGTTAGGGACTTTTCTAGCCGGTTCTAGCCGCTTCACTTAGCAAAGCAGATGTCAGAAGATTCATTCGACAGGTGGGTTCAGGTAGACTTCGGGCAAGCTTCAAACAATGAACCCGAA